CATCACCAATTGAGGTCGCTCTTCTTTAGCATTGGTAGCCATAGTGACGGTGCGTTATAATGACCGCATGGAATATCAGTGCCTGCACATTTTTGTCCGTTTGCCGAATTCTTTCTAGATGCATTTTTTTATTTAGTCTAGCTAGGCACTGATTAAAAACTTTTTCTCAGCATTATTGGTTTCTGCTGAAGACATATGGCTCCAGGTGACCAATGCTTAGCCGATCGTTATAATATGACTAAACGTCTCGGCGATGGAACATTTGGCGAAGTGCTTCTTGCCAAAAAGTTAGATACGGGGGATATTGTGGCCATAAAAAGGTTTATTCTGCTTTTTCTTGTTCTATTTTTTTTTTCATTTATTTTTCCGCTTTATTTACGTTTTAATTTATTTATTGTTCTAAAAATAAAATTTTTTTTATTTTTTATATTCGTTTTTATTTTTTTTTTTTAATATTAGTGGTTATATTATTGTGACTTGTAACTTTTAATACAGCTTAAGACTGAAGAAGTTTAATGGAAAAATTAAAAAAAATTTATGGTACAAATTTTAGAGATTAAAAAAAAATTTATCTTTTTTTTTTCTTTTCCATTCAAATAATGGTCGTCTTTAGTGATGTTATATACCAATCAGAGATACTATCAAAAGTGTAGAAAGACTTTCATTTTGTTGCCTGATCATTGTTAGGGCAAAACTGTATCCATCTTGGGTAAACAAAGTTCAAACAACTGAAAGATTGCTGGTGTTACTAACGTCTGTAAGATGATTATACGCTGTTAAGTTTGCATACAGTTTATTTCGTTTACGTAGTTTAGGATGAAAAAAAAAGTGTATTCCTGGGACGAGGCAATGTCACTCCGAGAAGTAAAATCATTGAAAAAGTTGAATCATCCAAATATTATTAAATTACGGGAAGTAATCCGCGAAAACGATGTACTGTATTTTGTATTTGAATATATGCAAGAAAATCTTTATGAGTTAATGAAAGACCGGTAAGTTACCTTGCTGTATTCGGAAAAAAAAAGAAAGCTAACTGCAGTTTAAATAACCAAATTCTTCAGTGGGTTTATTAATACCGTCATTTTTTTTCGACAAACTTGCAAAGGACAGATTTTTGCAATAATGTAATATCCTTGAAAATACCGATAATATTTGCTTGGCAGATCAGGTCATACACTTCAAGCAACTGTCAAGTATTAAAAGAAGCAGGCAATCTTTGAATAAATTTATGAACCTAAAAGTTTTTGCAATCAATAATGATCTTCTTCTACATTGATTGCATCCGAAGTCATGCTTAGCAATGTCAATTGACAGTACCATATGTACCATATTGCTCATCAATTTTTCGGTGTATTAATCGCTTAAATTTAAAGTCAAACGTCACTGATACCTCGACATTTCATTATCTTCGAAAGATTACATTTAAAGATGCATA